GTGTAAAGATGGATGAACTAAGCGTATGGATACTAGATGTTGCACCAAGCTTAAAAAACGAATGGCATAACAGACTAAGGAATCCAGAGATCAGAACCTCTATTTTCTTGATCAAGATGAAACAGCATTTCTCCAGGAGCGGTTTTAAAAAAACCCCAGGGTTTAGATCACATTAGATAAGGCACAATATGCACACGAGATTATGTTTAACTCACTTTTAAAAGATATATTGTAAAGGATTCTGGGTTGAGTCTTTTTCATGCTGAATTAATAAAGAGCACATAACAGCATTTTGCTCAAGGTTTTGCCTAGTTCAATTTCTTCCCAGATTCCTCCTGCATTCATGCAAAGCCTACTTGTAACTCAGTGCACATACCGGAAAGGTTGAGGCTGATGTGGAACTCCAGTGAGCCAAGAATAGTTTTTCAAACTCTAGTTTGGTATTACAACTCTCACGCACCCTGATATGGTATAAGCAGTTCACAGTTGCCTCCTGACTTGTGGCAAATATCCCTGCATCACAGTTTCTCAGTTTCCCACACGAAAATTCTGTTCCCTCAGAAGTTTTGGCTTAAGCTCTTATCCCAATCCCACTGACAGCCTTCAAAGATCTTAAGAAATTTTAAAATCCATCACCTGGAAATTTATACAGTACATGCAATTAACTAGTGGGTCGCATTTTTGGGGCTCTGTGAGATGATGTTATCAGCTCCAGGTTTAGTTCTGTTGATTTGCTTATTCCAGTAGGCATTTGATAGCTGAGAGCTAGCAGTTATTATAAAAGCCCCATAACACACCGGGTCTCTAAGAGTCAAACAGAAATAACTGAACATGAGATTAGGAGTTCAGGGGGTAAAAAAGGCTCATTGTTTCTCCTCTGTAATCAGGAAACAAATTAAGTAGGGAACACTGCTTTTCTCTCAAATGTAGAGGAAAAAACTGCTATAGCAGGTTGATGTACAAAACAAAACAAAAAAACAAGGAACAGATACTAGTGTATTCCATGTTGATTTGAGATAGTAATAAATAGCTACATATTCAACGTAACTTTGATACTTAACTTTTAAGTTGAGAAAATTCTCAATCTAGTGAAACCAATCTAAAGGCTGCTGAGTTCATACGTTTGGGGAAATCACTTTTTTCCTGTTCCAGCAAATATATACTAAAGGACAGTCCCCAACCAGTAGACTTCAAAGATGGGATAGGGAACAAACCAACCTTCAACCGAACTCAAATCCTTAAATCCTAATTCTACGCTGCATATTATTGGTGTAGGCTTTACAAAGGCTATGGAGCCTCAGCAGCAGCTGCACCAAACCCTTATAAATTTCACTTGCAAATACTTCTTTAGGCGCAGTCTAAATTAAATCAGCAAATGCTTTACTGAAAGTGATGCTTCTTTGCTTACCTACTTAAGGCACACGAGGAAGACTGTATAAAACTTAGTTACCTGCATCACTAGAACAGGATTCACAGGTAATCATCAAGTACAGGGCTAAAAAAAGTCTGCACTCATGTACTAAATCTAAACTGTGGAGTAAGGACTGGGATTAACTCCTTCTCAAGGCGCAGGCTCCCCTGCCAGAGGCAGCCCGAGCACCCTGTGTGGTTCGTGCATCTCTAGGTGGCAGCAGCTGCTCAGATTTTGAGATACTGTAAGATGCTTATCTCAAATTTAGCAACCAGTATCCTTCCATCCTCCTAGAATTGCCTTTCCTAACGTGAAATGTGACCCCCTCCCCCATTTCTTCATAATTTATAGTAGTCTGTAGCTGAGTCACAAGGATTTCTGCATTTTCCTAACCAAGTACACAAGAAAAGAAATGAACTGCCAAAGGATTGAGGTAATTTATAGCGTAAAGCATTGAGAGCTTCTAGTCGATCAAAGGACTCAGAGAAACAAATATAAGAACAATCATGCCTTCTGTTCTCTACAAATGCCACGGCCAGAAATAACTGTCCTAATTAACTGGTTTCAGAAAATGACTTCTCTGAAAAATACAATATTCTTACCAAGGAAAGTATACAACTGCTACAGCCTTATGGCAGCTGTCAGCAGGGCATGAAAAATCACTAAATGAAGTTTCCTTTTGCTTCCTCTGGTTGTGCATGGTACTCATCTTTAGACAGCCGTATCTGTTGATGGTGCCGAAATGATGCTGTAAGGGGACATTCCAGTATCCCTGGTATCAGTGTTACCAAGAATTGCAATCACATCAGCTCAGTACCATCTCAGCCAACCTCTGTTCATTGGTTATAAAGGCCAGACATCGTACCTGAGATGAGGTTGGCTTTTTTTTTTTGGTAAGACTGTTGTCTGGTCAGTCATGACCACGGCATTTCCAGTATTCCAGACAGTTTTGTGTTCATTGTTGCTATTGGGTGTAGCAGTTGAACTCCACCAGTCTACAGCTGCCTGACAGTGAGGTCCTGAATGTTGCAAAGGAGGAAAGGCTGAGCCTGACCCTACAGATCACCTACATTCACACATAAGACTGTTTGCCCTGTTCCACATGGACAAACTCCTGCAAACAATGTTCATCCCTGGACTGCTCAGCACCTGGAACTGGTAACATGCAAGTTTAAGGTACCATTGCCTGTGTGCCCTGCATAGCAAAATCTGTTATTTATTGTTTATATTACAAGACCGTTGGTGAGTTCTTGTGGGGTACCTTGGATAGGCAAGACTATCTCTGCCTCAAAGAGCCTGCAGCCAAAGATAAAGACCGGTAATAGATGGATAAGGAAACAAAGTAAGATTCGTGAGCTGACAGACAGGGGCACATCCTACCAGCCCCATCCCAACTCATGTCCCAGGCAGTACACTCAGTGCACACCTGTGCTGCTTCCTAAGGGGGTATCACAGCATGCAAGGGTTGTCACAGACCCCACGGCATCCAAGGGCTGTCACAGAACCTTCCCTGCTGCAACTGAAGACAACAGGTTATTGGTTAACAGTTCACTTCAGCAACACACAAAACCAGCTTAGCTTCAGTGCCCTTAAAAGCTTCCTTTTAAAGGGTGTTTACAACTAAGGATTACCAAGAATGCCAGTGTATGAACTGATCTAAGAAATGATTGAGAGTTTCCCAATTAAGCAGCATTTCAGCTATTTAGGAGAAACCAAGCACTCACAACATATGCTTGAAAACAGGTCAAGACAAGTTGGCAATTAACCCATTGAAAGCACATATCCTTCTCTAATAGAGCCTCCAACAATTCACACAATGCCTCATGTGAGATTTCTAGTGTAGGCACGGGGCACATTCTTAGAAAACCTTTTCAGCCTTTTATGCAAACCAGGAAGGCAGGTATGAAGGTATGAGAAATACCTTTTTTTTTTTTTTTTTTTTTTTTTTTTTAATAGGACCATACTTATTGCACAAGTCACTCAGTGGAGTGACTTGTTTCTCCTCTTCATGCAGTGCTTACCCGTAGAAGGGCTGAGAGGGTCTCCTTATTCCAAGTTTCTTGTGACCTGCTTTTATATGTGCACTCCCTGAGAGAATTATTATCTGAGCAAAATGTGCAGCTTCTGTGTTTTCCTTACAGCAACAGCAGAGTAAGAGTTGCACAAATGCTTCAGCTACTGCAAGGACTTTTTAAGTGCAGCCACTTTCAGCTCAGCACTATCATGTATACAAAGCTTTTAAGCAAAAGCACAGAACCTTATTTCCCCTGTATTTTTTTCACATGTTAACAAGCCTTTAAAAACCTTTGCATCTCTGCACTACATTTTGTAGTATTCCAGCATATTGCAGTACTTCCCGAGCACTACTGTTACAACATCATGCCTCGCTGCTTAACAGCTTGAAGTTACACTTTTTTCAGTTTAGTCTTGCTCTGTCCAAGATAAAAGTCCTTTCCCATCTTCCTCTACCATTATATCTGGATTATTCAGATAAAATGTTCTTCATCTTTCTGACCTGGTTTACCCTGATTTCACAGCCACGTAACAACAGGATCTACCCTGCAGTTCCGGAAAGCAGAGAGCACTTGCAGCATGAACAGAAGGCACGCTGCTTACAAATGGGTTTTCCCAGACAAGGTTCAGTGAAGCTGAACATTAGTGGTAGTACTACGGCAGAAAAGAGGTATTTTGGAGTTGAAACAGAGGCGCTGCTTTGCTCTGAGACCCAGGTGAGGGACGGCACTCATCCCTGCAGAACATCACTGTCTGTCTTCTCGCTTCCCCGGCTCTGTTTACACAGCCAGTGCCCTGGAACTCCGCACACAGGAAGCCGCAGCATCCCCCAGCAGCTGCTACCTCCTCTCACCCGCCAAACTACAGGATCCGCAGCGTGCCTGACGCCAAGAGCATCCCCTCTGCTGACGTCCTTCCATCCCCACACCGCCTCTGGGCCATCACTGGGCTGCAGTTTTCACCCGAGGGCTTGCAGGCAGCAATCGGCTTTGTAAGCAGAGCCTACGATTTACACAACGCACCACCCAACACAAAAGAGCAGGTAATACGATGATGTCCTGCTTACTTAGGACAGCCACTCGTGTTAACAGAGCAAAGTCCTCACTTTTGTGACCAAAAAGCGATTAAAACTTGGTGCTCTGAACGTTCCTCCTGCCCACAAGCAGGCGGCTCATTATCCCTTTGCTCGGATCTACAGACAACCAAGGAAATTCATTTTATCTATTTATCACCATGAATTAAAGATTACAGAAATACTGGCTGAAGAAAAATGTATTGCCAGAATAGATTCTTTGCATTCATTAGAACTGTGTTACTAGAAACATAAATAAGTAATGACTTATTGATCTTGCATAACCTCAGAAGAGCAAACTACAATAAACTGAGAGGAAAAGGACAGATCTTAACTGGAATGTACAAACCAAGATACCAACAGCACCTCTTAAAAACAACCAAGCAAAGCAAGCGTGGCCCACAGCTGTAACACCTCATGCTTTTACTCCGAGGGGGAAAAAAAGAATAAATCCGTGGGACAGCACAAGGTTCCCAAAGCATAACCTCTGCCGAACAAATTTACCATTTAACCCCAGGGTTTTTTCCTGGGCGCGGGCGTGTCTGAGCCCCGGTACGAATCCCCAGCCGGTGGGTCGAGGCCAGCCGCTGCTCCTTCCCGAGCCCCGACACCTCCGGCCGCTCTCGCCGCCGGAGCCGCTCCGTGCGCCGCCCTGCCCTGCCGGCGGCACCGCCGGGCTGCCCGCGCCCGCTGCAACGGGACGGCAGAGGAGCAGGCGCCCGTGGCACCGGGTCCCGGAGACGGTGCCGGGCATGCTTCACATTCCAGCGACGGTCCAGCTTCAACAAGTGCATCGCGCCCCTCCCTGACGGCGCCCGGCCCTCCCCGCACCCCGGCTGCTCCGCGCCGCCCGCCCCGCGCCCGGGCTCCGCCGCTGCCGCCCCACGGCCGGGCCC